CCACTCTCACCCTACCCCAAATCTGTAAATTGAGTGACATCAAGTGAAATATTTCCCTTTTATTCTCCCATTACTTCTTACTCTTACTGAATTGAGCTTTCACTTTCTCAGCTCAAATCCTCGAAGGAGGGAAAATCAATGGAAAACATTTCTCATTCACTTCCCAAGAGGAATTTGTCAGAACCGGCGATATTTCTAATAAGTCAGTGTACGATGACGGATTTGGGGGCCTACCGAAGTTCGGACTCCCCACACTGGCGCCTCGATTTGGGGACTACGCTAAGATTTTCTGTGGTTTCCACTTGGCTCGATCTTCTTCCATTCCGGTTTTGGATCTTCCTATAATTGATGTGGAGGCACGGTTTCATTTTGATATACGGAGTCCTGATTTTAACTATTCAGAAATTGTCGAAAATTTCAGTGGTTTGGATTTCGCTTTATCTTCCAACCCACTTATAAGATATAAACGTGTAAAATAAGTGACCTCAAGTAAAATATTTCCCTTTTATTCCCCCATTACTCCCTACCACCCATATTCCCAAAAACTTATTTGCACCCCACGTCGGATTACTTGGAGCATAATTTGGACAAAGTTTTCTGATGCTGTTAGCCTTTTGATCAATAGCCAGTTCTGAATTCTCTTCCTCTTTTCCCAAATAGCTCGAATATTTTTCATTACCAGAACAGAACATAAGATTACGAGAACTATAATATTTTGGCCTTTTTTTCTTGGAAATTACTGACTGTGACTATTCATCATCATCGTCTTCTTCTTCTTGGTGAGTATTGTTCAATTTTTTTATGGAGGAGGGGGGTTTAGATTGAAAATGGAACAAACAATTGATTTTGGGTTGAGTTGGGCTAGCGGTGGCAAAAAAGCTCGGAGGCTCGCACAGCTCGGACTCGTCTTGGAAAAAGCCCGAGCCAGGCTGAGTTGGGCTAGCGGTGGCAAAAAAGTTCGAAGGCTTGCACGGCTCGAGCTCGCACGATCACGGGTCGGCCCGTGTGACAGGCTGAAACGGCCCATGTAAATTTAAAAAAAAAATTCAAATTTTGA